AGAGACGAGGTTTCACCATGTTGACCAGGATGGTCTCGATCTCTTGACCTTGTGATCCACCCGCCTCAGCCTCCCAAAGTGCTGGGATTACAGGCGTGAGCCACCATGCCCGGCCTGCAAGATTTTTAATAGTGTAATTAATTGCTGTTTTACATTTATCTAGAGCAAAAAGAAAAATGGAGTAGAGGCAATTAAATATTAATAAAGACCATAATAATAGGGTAGCAATATTAGATTGAAATAATGGAGTTAAATTGGCCAAAACAATGTGGCAAAAGTAGCAGTTAAAATATCGTAAATCACATGAGCTACTTAAGGGAAAAATGTTTCTAAGTAAAATATAATACTAACTTTATAATTGGGTTAAAATTTCTGTTTTACCTGCCCATATACAAGAAGGTTAAAAAGAGAATAATCTGATACGAAGAATGGTAACAGTGTATTTGTATAGGCTTTGTAGTTTTCAAGGTTTGCTTGCTTGTTTTTGGTTTATAACTCTTAAGAATTCAACAGTTGTTTTCCCTGTTTTACTAGTGGGATAAAATAGGCTCAAGGAGGTTATTCCTCAGTATCACACATCCAGTAAATGCAGGACAAACTACGTGAATCCAGGCCTTTGATCCCAATACTTTGGCCCTGCGTCTTTCCCATCACAGAGCTACCCTCAAATTTGATATTTTAAGTTCCTTCTAGTTATATGAGCTGGTTCAAATTGCATATAGGATGAATTTATTCTAATATTGTTAGATGATTGTTGTTGAAATGAAGTAAGTAAAAATGATTTATTTTAGCATTATCATTTTTAAAAAATTCTGGAAGAGGGCAGGTCATTCCTAAAACTTCCATGTTTTCTATGCTTTAGTGTTTTAAAACAAGTTACAGATATCTTAACGTTCCAAATATATCAGTATGCATCTGAAAAGTAAGAACACTTTTCAGATAGCTAAACATAACATTATAACATTGCAATAATAAAGCTAGTAATACTTTCTTGATATTATCTAATAGCCAACATTCAGATTTCTTCATTTGTACTAAAAGATTCTTTACAATTGGTAAAGAATTCACTCCGGGACTGTGTATCTGGTTTTAATTCCTTCAGTCTCTTTTAATCTGGAACAGTTCTTTTTATGACACCAACTTGCCAAAGAAGAGAGCATGGAATACACAATGATGTAACTGAGCGAGTTAGAAGGAATGTGCCATGATCTGAGTTCTAAATTAAGAGTCCTTTATTGATTTGTGGCTAATGTTTAAAATTCTCTCGGCCCTGAGGAAGGGGCTTGATTATCTTTTATACCTTGATTTAGGTAGGGGAGGGGGAGTCTAGTTGAAGCGGAATTTTACAGAAGCAGAAAAGCAGGTTAGAGGAAGGGGCTGCAGGTACAGGTGGTTTTCATACCATTACCAAGAATGGGGGCCATCAGGCTCCTTCTGCACAATGATCGAAGGGAAACTTTTTTCTTACAATAGCAGGGGGGAGGTATGCCAAGCAGGATGTGTTTACAGTGGTTACAAGTGTTAGGAACAGTGCTTCAATGCTTCTAAGTGCAGCATGACCCAGCTATGCACTCAGAGGGGCTGTGGTAGGGAGGAGGAAGCCAGGTTGGAGTTTACAGCTAAGGTGGAGTCAGTGATGCTAGCCCAGGGTAGGTTATTACATCATGAGTAGACTTTTCTAGAACTAGTTTAGAAGAGACTTTACTTACCGTATACTGTCTTTGTTGTTTTCAGTTTTTTTAAAAAAAATAATAAAAATAAATTTGGGACAAGGTCTCACCATGTTGCCCAGGCTGGTCTCCAACTCCTGGGCTCAAGCAGTCCTCCTGCCTTGGCCTTTCAAGTTTTTATGTTTTTAGGTCAAAAGTTGTAATACAATTTGACAGTAAAATGTATATTTTATTGGTAGATTAGCAAAGTTTATAATTTGCCTTGGGGACAGAATTACTCTGGGATTGATTTTTCTTTTTTTAAATATCTTGAAAGATTGATTGATTGTTGCTTTGGCCAAAATCACTTTACCTATATAGAAAGAAAACTCACTGGGTTGCAAGAAGACCCCAACAGGTAGCTCATAAATAACATGAGTTCCCTGTAGATGGGTTGGCCTATCTCTGGTGTGTAAAGAGTAACTCATGCCTCCATAGGGGCAGTTGCTGACTTTAGCATCTGCTGCCTGGCCAGAGGCTGTGAGGGCTTTGGCGCTGCCACAATGTGGTCATTTATCACCTTAGCTGAGAAGGATGCAGCTGGCTTAGATTCATGGCTCTCCCAACCTCCTTCCGCCACATGAAAAAAAAATTTTATCAGGGATTCCTGTAATGGGCCTAACTAAGCTGTGTTCCTGCTTCTGCTCTGGGATTACCAGCCTTGACTATGCTGGTATTCCCTGTACTCTGGCCAGCCACACTTTTGTGTTCCCTATAAGAAAAGGAACTAAAGTAAAAGTCCCATAGCTGGTTGCTAGATTCTTAACTCCATGCAATAGAGTTCTCTGGCCTCTCCTTCCACTCTAGTTTTCCAAGTATATATACTTTTTCAGCTCCTTTCTGTTAGCTTAGAAAGCCTGACCCAGTAATGGACTTCTAGGACCAGGTGTTATAGGGGGCAGCAACATGGACTCCCAGAAGGCAGATTCTGGGCACACTGACCCCTTGGCTTTTCTCAGACCACTGCCAGGCAACAGGCCCCTTTAGTAATCTTATGCTACATATGTGGGTGACTTCAAGTCTTGGGTGTCTGGGATAAAAAGAATTTTCTTTTCCTAAGATCTACGACTCTTGAAAAAGAAGTTCCTGTCATCTTCATCCACCCTCTAAACACTGGATTATTCCGGATAAAAATTCAAGGAGCCACTGGAAAATTTAACATGGTCATCCCTCTTGTGGATGGGATGATTGTCAGCAGGCGAGCTCTTGGTAAGGTCTTCATATGTGGCTGAAGAGTTAAATTTTCTTTTTCTTTATTATTTTTATGAACCAAAAAGAAATAAAAATAAGGAAATGGTGATAATTAATAGCTTCCACATGTAGGAAATGTATGGCTGTTGTTAAAAAGGGAGCGTGCTGTTTTAATCTGTCTTTAGTAAATATAAGTAGAACCTCACCAACTTCTGGTATTAAGAAAATGAAGATAGCTATTTGTAATTCAGGAAGGAAAATAGGCTGTTAGACTAGATTTTGATTCTCCTTTTCCTTGTCATTTTGTGTTTCTTCTGACAGGTTTATCTTAGTCTGTCTCTCTGGGGCTGGGAGGTTTGCAAATTGAATGAAATAGTTTGAGTATATGAATAGTTCACCTGAATACTGATAGTTCACCTACTGAAGTGACTAGTTTTTAACATTTATTTTAAAACTCTCTGTTTTTCAAGGCTTTCTGGTAAGGCAGACTGTAATTAACATTTGTAGAAGAAAGAGACTGGAGAGTGACTCCTACAGTCCACCCCATGTCCGCCGGAAACAGAAAATCACCGACATTGTCAACAAGTACCGGAACAAGCAGTTGGAGCCAGAGTTTTATACTTCACTTTTCCAGGAGGTTGGACTCAAGAACTGCAGTTCTTAGACCACTGAATTTCTAAGACTGTTGAACCCCCGTTTGGGAACTATGACACAGCAGAACAGTTTGATAGGTGATCACTGTAAAAATAAAAACGAATCACTCCCAAGAGCTTACTGTTTAATCACCAGAATAGAAGAAACACATTATAGCCCATTTGATAGAAGACTTTTGGCTATCTAGTGAAATAGCCTCCCAGACACAATCATATTCCTGCTGATAATGATGACATACATTTTAGCCATAAACTTTCTTTTAAAAGTGACAATTTTAGTTAAACCAAAGCCTTTTGAGGAGAAAGGCTTTTATGCATCTCAGTTATACACGTGCATTGGTAGTATCAACAAATTTGCAATATAGAAGTTGAAGCTAGTTTTATACCTCACTTTTTAGGAGGTTGTATTAAAAAAAAATCTGTCTCAGAATCTTCCAGGACATTTAAAGACTCATGTTGATAGCATGGAGGAGAAGGAAAGAAGTCTCAGCCTTCTACTCACTTGTAGGTCTACTTGTCATCCAGCTGTCAAACTGACAAAAAGAAAATAGGATAACATGTTTTTTTCTCAGATAAGAAGCCTGACATTAAAATATGTCATATTTTTTTTCTCCACATTTCAGGAAGTTGTCCTTGTCATCACTGCACAGATCTGTCTGAAAGCCTCAGTTTCTGGGCCACCCAGCAACAGATCAGAAATGGTGCATGGCGTTGTCCTTTAATGGGGATGCAAATAAAGTTTGTGGGGTTAAAAGTTATAAGACAGCAGTGATACCCCCACTCTCTCCATTATTGTCCAGCAGGGTGACGTAATGACAGGTTAAACATTTGTGATTCATTAATTAAATATCATTTGAAGAAATGTAATTCACAGTAGGGGTTGAAAATTATTTGGTTTCATCTATTATCTCTTATTTCAGGACCAAGCAGCAAACTGCAGTAGTTTATGAAGGATTCTAGTTTGGGGTTCAGGAATAGCCTCTCAACGCTCCTTATTCAGATCTTTCCCAGAGAACTACTCGATTTCCTTGTAATTGACAAACATGAGTGACCACCTCTTTGGGTGGCTACTGTTAGAAATGGCTAACAGTTGTTGTCATCTTTTCTGGACTTTGCCAGCCAACAGATCCCTGCCAGGTTTTGGAAATACTTCTGTTACCTCGCTGCTACTTTTCTGCAGGGATGAAACTTTTGAGGTGGCCAGACCCAGAACATCCTTACAAGGATTCCTGTTACAGTGCTACAGCATACACTGCTCATTTACCCTATTCTCATGTGCTTTCTTCTTTAGTAAGATTATTTTATGTTAAGAAAGTAAGTGATATTTGAAGTCCAAAGAGGAATGATCACAGTTGTATAAGAGGTGTTTTCTCACGTGAACTCTGATGTCAGTAGACTCTATAGGTCAAAGCTACAACAATCTGTTTGGGTTGATGTTTTGGTAGTTTACTTAGGGGGCGGGGATAGTGTGGGACCTAATTCCCTGTGCAAATGTCTCTTATTCCAGAAATATGCATTTGCCATCTGTGAGCAAGAAATATGGGCATAGCAGCTCTTGGTTTAAAGTTTGCCATAACCTTTTCTTCATGTTTGTTTTAAGCTCAGGTAAAGATAACCTCCTCTTTCTATGACTCCAGTTTCCATTCAGGTTATAGTATTATTCAATAGTTGATTTTCTTTTTAAGCTGGGCAATAAATTGATGTTTCCAGATGGTAGCATGGGAGAGGGCATAATGGGATAAAGATGAGCAAATTCTACCCTAAAAATGTTCTACTGGTTCACAGGAAGAAGATGAGGTTTAACAACTTTTAAGGTAATTCTAGATTGACATTTTGAGGGGAAAATGGGCTCTTGTTTTAGTTGAAGTGAGCAGAGAAGGCTGTAAATTGATTGTAACTTAACATTCCAGAGGTTAAAAATAACTGATGTAGATGCACTTCTTCAGTGTGATTCTTCAGATCAAACTGTTACCTTGGCATAGTTAATGTCAGAAAAATGTGCTGTGTGTGTATGAGGGTTGGGCTTCCTGACCCTTGAGTTAGCTTTAATTTCTGGCAACTCCTTGTAATTCCAATGTATTTGATAAGTGAACAACCATGTTGAATGCATTTGTGATCTGGGAGACTCCCTGGTCTTCCAGGGAAGGAAAGATGTGCAGCCCTTGAAGGCATGAAACTTCTAATGTGTACGGAGCCAGTGGAATATGGGATACACATACCTACCAGGCACTGGTTCCTTCTGCTCAAAATAATATCTGCCCACAGAGGGAGTGTGGTAAGAACCCTTAGATCCAGTCTTTCACTAATATGGATTTGAGTTCATGGTCACTATGTTTATCTACCTGTCTGTGTTAAAAAATCACTTTGAGTAAAATAGCACCAGAGGAACCTATTTAATACATAATATTAATATTTAGTAGTCTGTTTGATAAATTTGCCAGCATATGTTCTAGCCTTTCAGGCAAAGCAAGGACCACGTTCGTCTGTGGCTTAAACAGCTCAGTCGCTATGTCCGTTGGCTATGCCGGGGGGTGGATGAGTGTGGCATTCTATGAAGAGGAAGGTGGTAAGTAAGGTTGCCCATCTACTGCTGCCTTAAATTGGAGGAGGGAGCTTTTCTCCTCCTCTCTGATTGGGTGCACTGAGGTCAGTGAGGAGGGCTTTTACCTTGTTAACCCTTTCCTTGTTTAACTAGCTTTCCTTTTTGTCTAGGACTTCTTCCTGAGACCCTCTTCCATCCACTGGGCCTTTTAAAGGACTCATTACATGTTGGGTTGACCCCCTTTTTTTTGCCAGCACGCGCGTGCACACACACATGCATACTCATGCACATTTTCTGTCATTTCCAAGTCCTTTATTTCAGGGCAGCCATTTTCCTCTGGACTCATTAATAAATACAAATACCCACACCTTTGGCCAGTAATGTTGGTTCCCTGCAGGTTCTGTGTATGAGGCCTTAGTGAATGGTTACTTTCTCCATATACTAGGGAAGCATTTGTCAGACTCTGCAGACTGGGTTCTAGAGAGGCAGAGTCTTTAGGAGTACCCATTTCTTCTGGAAGGTGGAGCTTTACCCAAAGTGGAAGTTAGCTTTGCTCAAAGATGTGTTTTGTGGTAGTTGGTAAAAAAAAAAAAAAAAACCTATTGGAGATAATTTGACGCTCCTGCTGGCAGTAGTTCTCCATTCACCATTTTAAAGCCCATTCAGGTTCTATCTTCCTAAAAAAATTGATTGCTGTGTTTACATGAAATGATGATTGGCGTCAGATGGTCTGTTTTAAAGATTTCCATGACAGCCTTTTTTCCTGAGTTGGAGAGATTGGAGGTGGTCCATCCATACAATGTGGAATCAAACGGTGGGTTTCTTAGTAGCTAAAGAAGCCATGTACTTATAGTGTTTTTCTCCGAATATCAACTCAGAATATCAACTCATGTTCTTCAGATGCTTTTCTTTTTTTAATGGTAAGGGAAAAGGTGTAATTTGGGATTCCACAGTGCCTTGCATATAGTAGGCGCCCAATAAATACATGTTGAAGCAAACCAAGTTTCCCAAGTTCTCATCTCTTAACAGTGACCAAGACATCTTTCTCCTCCGAAGGGCTTGGCAGTTGTGGCTAAAAAATAAGCAGTATCATTATTTGCTTGAAAATCATATATACAGTTTGTATGAATTTCAGTATGTTGCCAAGACATGATCTTTTTCTTACTGTATTTTCTGTAAATATTTCTGGCACTGAACTGTAAAGTAAAGGCAAAGTGTAAATATGAAGGCCTGCCCGTGCCCCTTGCCTCCTATGTTTCATCTTCGTCAGTTAGGGAAGAAGGTCCAGAGGTTTGTTTGTATTTATGCCGATCCTTTGTCCAGAAGAAACCCATGGAATATTGAATGTAATACATTTAGTCAATTAAATTTTAAGGCGATTCTTATCTAATGACTGTGTGTGCTTTTGGATCCAGGCTGGGGGTGACTCCTACACTGCTGCTCTTAATTTTACCCTTCCAGGGCATGTCTCCTGGGCTTTGGCTGCCCTTCATAATTTAGATCGGTAGTTTAAATGAACATTGAGTATTTCATGAAATACTCAAAAATTTGATTAATTCTTAAGAAAAATACTTGGCTTTCTCTGCTGGAAGGAGCTTGTATAATTAAAACACTGCCAGTAGAGGCTCACCTTTCAGAGGCTGGGAATTGCTGAGGAGATAGATGCTTGTGTTATGGGAACAAGAAGGGCCAGCTGTGCCCCCTGCTTGCAGAAAATTTGAGCCCTACCAGGGCTAGACAGGAAAGTGGGGAGGTGCAGAGGTCATCCCCTGCTGCCCACTGCCCCCTTTGTGTAGGGCAGACTGCAGAGGGTTTCTTGGGGCCAGATGAATGCTTTCAGGCCTAGATCACACAGAGTGGAGTGAATGGACCACTTAAAACAGCCGTGAGAACCATGTGGTGCATGCCTCTGCCAAGAGCTATGCCTCTGACCTAGCACAGACTCAGTGTGACGTGTGCCACCCTATGAACTGTGTCTGGGAGCTGCCTATTTTGCACTGTGTGCTCTGCCTGCTCTGCCCGCTCACAGCAGGACCTCCAGCTGGGCCTAGTGGCCAGGAAAGGTGACTGCACAGTAGCCCTGTCTTAGTGTCTGGAAAGGTTTCAGAAAAATGTGTGCTCAAGCCTTTCCCATCAGTGCTGCCCATCTAGCTCTCTCTAACCCCAACCTCTTCAGCACTCAATGCCAGGGAATCACTCCCAACCCAGACCGCCTGCTCCTCCTCCTCTTGGCCTCTGGGCCCTGCATCTGGCACACCCTGCCTGGACACTGCTTCTCTTGGACACACATTCTAGTCCATTTTCCCAGACCACCTCTTGTAGGAACTCAGGCCATCCCTCAGCTGGGCTAGGACTCTTTAAAACATGCCCCAGCTCTCCCAGCCCCTCCCATGCTCATTTTTTCCAGTTGCTGGCCCCATGTCCCTTCTCCGTGGATTGGTGTCTTTTCCTGTAAGGGAGTTCTTCTCCATGTTTCTCCCTAGGTTTACCACCCACTTCCTGCAGCTGCTCCCCCAGCCTGGACCTGAGTTTGCCTCACTTTTCAACAGGTGCTCTTAAGTCATGAGATGCTGTGGTCTCAAAATCAAGCCTGCGTCAGAATCATCCTGGCTCCTTATCAGAATATTGAATCCCAAGCCTCACCCCTGCCCCCAAGAGGCCTGAGGAGACGAAGCTGAGCCTGTGAATTGGCATGTTTAATAAATAACACTCCAACACCCACCCATCTGCTGGCAGTCACAGGCAGATGGCCCAAGGATCCTCTTGAAAAATACCATGCAGCAGCCAGTCCTCCAGTGGGAAGCCTGAAGCCTCTTTTCTGCCATGGTCTGGCATATGGAGGTTTACTGAACACTTCCTGAGAGAACGGATGGCAGTAGATAAGGATGACGTGGGAGTGTTCTGCCCACTCAGGAGATAAAGGAAGATTAAACTCATTAGATGCCCCTCACTGAAAACCCCAATAAGGAGAGGCACAGAAGCTTCCAGATTAAGAAATAATCATGTATAGTCGTTTAATAATCATTAGAAAAATTACTATGTGTGAGATTTTAAAAGTTTTTAAGTGGCAGCCCAGTGACCAATCTAGCCTGGCAAACTTTTTGTTTTGCAAACAGTGCTTCAACAAGATCTGATCTAACATTTTTAATTTGAGAGATTTCACATAAAAATCCAGACTTTTTGCCTGTCTTGGGAAAGTTAAGAGTCTTGGCAGTAATGGGCCTGCATTTCACTTGTGGCAGCTATTGGCTGGAGCAGCCACCACTGCATGCTTAGGATGCAGTAAGCTCCATCCAGTTTGCTGCAGTCCCCAGCACTCCCATGAAGTGTGGACGTGGGCACGCACAGCTGGTATTACAGGACCTGGGGACTTGGCTGGCTCCTGGAGGGGTCTGTGACTTCAGATATATGAACACTGACCCTGGGGGTAATTTTTGTCCCATTTGTTTTTCTAACTTACAGAATTATCCCCATCTTATAACAAAGAAGGTCAGAGGGGTGCCATGAACCTAATAGCTACTGGGCTGAGATTCAAACCCAGGCCTGCCTGGAAGCCTGGGCTTTTAATTCTCAGCCAGATTGTCTCACTGCGTCACTTCCCACCCATTCATCCAGTACAACTCTCCCTCAAAGTGTCCCCTGCATGTATGCTTTGCCTGAAGGACACTGTGACTTCCTTGTTACGTCACAGCTCAGTCACAATTGGGCTAAGAGCAGAGCATGGCCCAGCCTGCCAGGTCCCCTGGGGCAGCCCTGCCAGCCAAGCCCAGGCTGGCCCGGCATAGCCATACATGCACCATGAAGTACCCTTTGGTGACACTGGTGAACGACTTCACATTTTCTTTCCTGGGTTTCTGGTTCTGCCTCCCTGTGGGTTTGCTGTTGTTATTATTGATCATCTGGCTACGCTTCTTACTTAGCCAAGGTGAGCTGCTTACCCTGCCCAGGCAGGGCCCTAATCCCGGAGCTAGACAGGGAGCCGAATAGGCCAGTGTGTCCTGAAACAAATGCAGAAGGGGTTTCATTCAGTTATTTTAAGTGCTGGCTCAGATGCAAGCAGTCAGCTCTTAAGTGGAAAGGATTGGTTTGGTTATTTAGAGTTTCTTAACCTGGAGTTCAAGAGTGAGTCCATAAGTTTGACTGCAAAGCAGTATGTGTGTGTGCACGCCTATAGCATGCATGAGCTTTTGAACAAAGGAAGAGGTTATCCCTCCAGGCAGATGAACTAGAAAAGGGTGTCCCTTTCTGTGAATATAGCTGGGCATGAGGCTCTGTCAGCAGAGTGTGGGCTGGATTTCAGCCCCACTCACCCCCTCAATTAGGTGCATTTGTGCAGTAAACAGCTTGCACAATGGGATACGGCATCCTTAGGCATTTTTTAGGTACCTGCAGACCACTCACTGTTTTCTACCTAGACCATATGTCAGAAAGGATCTGGCTTCTCTGGGAGACAGGCTCATGGAAGCCAACTGACATTCATCCTGACCTCAGCATGCCACCAAGAGGAGCAAGAGGTGGGACGAAGCCGGCTGTGGAGGAAGCTGGGGATGGCTGGGCCAGGATATGGCCTGGCTGTGTGGCAGGAGGGGCCTCTGCTCCTCTGGCATGTGTCTCCCTGAGCATCCCCTTCAGCAAGATGGCTCTTCCTGCTGGCACAGTGGCTCACACCTGTAATCCCAGCACTTTGGGAAGCCAGTGGCTAGATTGCTCAAGCCCAGGAGTTTGAGACCAGGCTGGGCGACGTCTCTACAAAAAATACAAAAATTAGCCAGGTGTGGTCGCTTGCATCTGTGGTCCCTGCTACTTGGGAGGCTGAGGTGGGAGAATTGCTTGAGCCTGGGAGGTTGAGGCTGCAGTGAGCCGAGCTCACACCACTGTACTGCAGCTGACGAGTGAGACTGTCCAAAAAAAAAAAAAGGCTTCTTTGTGGGGACCACTTAACCTCTCACCTGCTGCTGCTGAGCGCCATGACCTTTGGCCAGCTAGGCAGGGAGGGTGCAGCACATGCTACCAGCAGTGGTCAGATGTCATTGAGGCAGGGTGAGAAGTCCCTCCCTACACTCCCACTAGCTCCATGATCTCAAATGTAGGGGCTGGTCATTGTGTAATTATTGGGAGTTCCTGGCAAGAGCCTAGGATGTCCTCTTGTATTCTAGAAAATGTTTATTTAAAGTGTATTCTCATAGTCTCAGGGTAGACCACAGCCCTCCCTGAGGGGCACAGTTTAGGCATTGGGCCCCACAGCTGATAGGGAGTCAGACTTGTTTGCATACTGGCAATAAAAGTTGTCTCTCTGGAGTCTGGAAGACATGGGTTCAGATTTCATCCTTGCTTTTTTTTTTTTTTTTTTTTTTGAGATGGAGTCTTGCTCTTGTCACCCAGGCTGGAGTGCAGTTGCACAATCTCAGCTCACTGCAACTCTGCCTCCTGGCTTCAAGCAGTTCTTCTGCCTCAGCCTCCCGGGTAGCTAGGATTACAGGCACCTGCCATCATGCCCAGCTAATTTTGTAATTTTTAGTAGAGACGGGGTTTCTCCATATTGGTCAGGATAGTCTTGAACTTCCAACCACAGGTGATCTGCCTGCCTTGGCCTCCCAAAGTGTTGGGGTTACAGGCGTGAGCCACTGTGCCTGGCCAATGCAAACATTTTAACAGCTTCATGACAAGCCATCAGACAGAAGGACCAGGTCTCCATGTGGTGTGATGGCGCCACAGCTTAGTCACCCAGACCTCTCGTGATCTGTGGATATGGACAGTTTCCAGGTGTTTTATTGTTTGTATGTATGTGTTTCACCACAAAACAGTGCTGCAGTGGAGATCACTGCGTCTTTGTACTCAGATATTTGTTAATGAATCAACTAGTGGACAAATGGCTGGATGGGTCAATGACTGTGTTGCCTCACTGCCTCCTCCTGGACCATGCCCAGTACAGTATGTCACTGGCTCACTTCTGTGTCCTTCCCTTTAATAGATTGATATGGCCACGTTCCCAGTCCCAGGAACAGCCTCCTTTCTTGATCCCTGGTCACACTTTAAGGCCCTGAAGTCTTCCTGAGGCCTCAAGGCTGGCCTGTGGGATTCTGCCTTGGCCCTAGCCTCAGACAAGGCTGCAGGGATGTAAGGGGCAGGAGACAGTATGTGACCACCCAGGAGGTCTTGCCTCGTATCTCCAGATTCAGAGGAAAATGACTCCAATGTATGCTTGGATTGGGAGCCCTGGAGCCAAGGCCCGGCCGAGTTTTGCTGGAAGGGGACACTCCACGGCCAAGAGAAGGAGAGGCCCTGCTGGTGAGCCTGCTGTGCCAGGGGAGGCCCTTCCAGGGGCCAGGGGGAGCCTCAGGGCCCACCCAAAGGCTTGGGCAGCTGCTATGTGGGCAAGAGGCTGTCTCT